AGCCCGATGCGGGGCTCGATCCCAGGACCCTGGGATCATGACCTGAGCCGAAGGCAGACGCTTAACGACTGAGCCACCCAGGCGCCCCCTTTCTTTTTCTTCTTATAGAATATGTCACACACACAGCTAAGCATGAAACATAAAATCACAGACAGCTGTGTACATATCACCCAGCTTTAGCAAAGCTTAACATTTTGCCAAATGCCTTTGGGGTTTTTAAAAAAGAAACAAAATGTTGCAAATCCAGTCCTTCTGGTGTCTCTAAGATGACACCCCAAAAGCAGGCACCTCCTCTGTGCATGCGTCACCCGCCGCTGCAGCGCCAGGGTCCTCCCCTGCTCCCACAGGCCGACCCCGTTCCCAAGTGCACCTTAGTCATCTCTAACTCATTCTTTGGCCCTGAAAGGAAGAGTTCTTTGGGTGTGGCAAAGATGAAAAAAAAAAAAAACTCACTTGCATGTTCCAATATGTTCCCCAGGAAATGTTCAGAAGCCATCACATGAGACTGAAGAGGCCTGTCGTGGGAGTTTTGTCTCGAAGTCGGAGACACCGCATGGTTGGGGGAGGAGGCTGCATTCGGCTGCTCTGACTCCCAGGCATCCGTCAGGGAACGGTCAGAATCCCCTCCTGGAAAAGAAGGGCTCAGTGCGCGTGTGCCGGTGTGTGGTCATTGACTTTCCAGGCACAGTAGCCAATGGTCATCCCCATTGCAATGTTTTGGGAGTCCGATGGGAGACGGGTCTCCGGGTCGGGTGGTATTTCAATTTGTCCTCATCTTTGAAGGGCCCCAGAGGAAAAGACTCTTCAATGCAGAGACGAGCAAAGGCCAGAGGCATGAAAGTGTAGTGAAGGAGGCCCATTCCAATGTGGTTAGAGCAAAGGGACCTGGTGGGACATGAGACTGGAAAGTGAGACTGAGGGTGGGTCACAGGAGGCACCAACTTCCCAGTAGAGGAGTCTGGAATTTATGCTGCAGACAGTGGAGTGCTGGAGTGGCTCTGGGTGAGGGTGCCACTGGACACGCACACTTCTGTGGCATTTTCAGGTAGATAAAGTAATATGTGGTTTTGGTATATGGTAAAATCTAGGTGGCCTTGATGATCATGAACTAGTAGCCTAAGACTCATGTATAGAAGAAGACTCATGGATAAAATATCTCACTCTTTTTTTTTTTTAAAGATTTTATTTATTTATTTGACAGAGAGAGAGACAGCGAGAGAGGGAACACAAGCAGGGGGAGTGGGAGAGGGAGAAGCAGGCTTCCCGCGGAGCAGGGAGCCCGATGCGGGGCTCGATCCCAGGACCCTGGGACCATGACCTGAGCCGAAGGCAGTCGCCTAACCAACTGAGCCATCCAGGCGCCCCTAAAATATCTCACTCTTAATCCCTGAGTGCATTGGGGGTTGTACAGATGGATTTGAAAGATGTGTGATGAGTACATGCGCCTCTCTTTTTAAAAGATTTATTTATTTATTTTGGGGGGCGCAGGGGCAGAGAGAGAGACAGAATCTCAAGCAGCCTCCCTGCTGAGCGAGGAGCATGACTCGGGGCTTGATCTCTGGACCATGAGATCATGACCTGAGCTAAAATCAAGAGTCTGACAATCAATTGACTGATTCACCCAGGTGCCCCTGCCTCTCATCTTTATTGCACCAAACTATAGCAGAGCCAAGTCCTTCTATTTCTCATTCATTCATTCATTCATTCATTCATTCATTCATTCATTCATTCAGCAAACATTTACTGGATGTGATTCTATATGAGGAGTTGACCCAGCTGCTAGAATACAATTGTGAAGATGATGTCTCTGCCCTCATGTGCCTTATGTTCTGGTGGGGGAGAAAGATAATAGCTGTGAAGGACATTCTCCCTCTGTAAAATACCTTAAAATGCTGGATAAAATATAACAAACATCTTAACTTTTTTTTTTTTTATTCAAGGAGGCTGTGGTCTGGAGAGGGACAGACATACACGCCAACAATTAGGATGCAGTATGGGGTCATTGCTACCATGAAGGGCAGCAGAAGGCATCCAGTGAGAGTCTAGGAAGGAGTGTCTGAGTCCATCAGGGGAATCCAGGCAGGCTTCACAGATGAGATTGTACTTAAGTGAAAACTTGATGAGTAGGAGTTCTTCCAGGGAGACAGCAGGAAGACGGAAGGGCAGAGACAGAATAAATAGGAGGGGAGGAGGGGAAGGAGCAAGAGGACAAGGGAGAGAAGAGGAGGAAAAGAAGAAAAGACATTAACCCATGCGAGAACATGAAGGAGGGTGTTCCCTGAAGAGCGAGTTCTCCTATGAGCCTAGATAGGGGAGCATGTGAGTGTGGGCACTCCTAGGAGGTGATCTTGGCTGGACTGCTAAGCAGGGGTCCGGTCATGAAGGGCCTCATGGGTCACACTCAGTTGCTATGATATATTCCCAGGCAATTTGGAGCATGAATGTAATGTGAGGACTGCTTTGTGTTGAAGGGCTCGCTCAGCAATGAGAGACTCCCAGCTCCTGGGAATGATTGTGGAACCCCCAAAATACATGGGGTCCTCATATAACAGTGCTTCTTAACTGGAGGAGATTTCTGCCCCCAGGGATATTTGACAATGTTTGAAGACGTTTTTGGCTGTTACAAATTGGTGTGTGTGTGGGGGGGGCGGTGAGTTGCTACTGTCATCTAGTGAATAGAACCCAGGGATGCGGTTACCATCCTATAATGCACAGGCGGCCTCACAATGAGGGATTGTCCAGTCCCAAGTGTCGATAATGCTGAGGTTGTGAAACCCTGTCACAGAGGGAGCAGACCCAAGTGTAGAAGGAATGTTGATCATTAGTGCTCTTTCAGCAACTCTGGTAAGCACTTACGCGCACAGAACATCTGTATTTTCCTACATTTTCTATATCTTCCTGATTGCCCTTACTCTTGTCAAAACACCCTACATTCCGCCTTCACAGGGCAAATCATAATTTATGATGTCATAATTATTATATAAACACATACTATATAATACGTAATTTGTGTCATTTTTGTTTAATATCCGCCTCCCTTGCGAGACTAAAAGCACCATGAGAAAAAGTACACTTCACCTGCCCCAGCCCCAGACACCAGCAATAATGCGGAACGTATTGTTAGCATTCAGTAAGGTATGTTAATAAGTAGAGAGTTCTGGTAGGGGGGCAGGGAGGATGAGACATGAGAAGCCGCTATAACAACTTGGGCCACTGTAACAGGGTCACAGCCATAGAGACAGGGGTCAGTGCTCACCTTTATGGAGGCTCAAGCTGATTTGAGTTGGAGGCTTTAAGCAGGGAGAGTCACCTCCTAGCCCAGGCTGGTGGGCTGACTCTGCATGTGGGGCTCCCCTCCCACTCAGCCTGGATACTGAGCAAATGAGCTGGTGCCTTTGGACCAGGGAATTTCTGCCAACCTTGCAGTCTCCCTCCCACCATCCCACCCACAACCTGCGGCCGCTTGACAAAACGCAGTCTTGCAGAAGCATCTCTGCTGGTTGCCATAGAGAAAGGAAACAGCAGAAAGTGAGACGTAGGGATCATCCAGTAATGATCATGCTGCAGAAGAGTTCCTGAACCATGTGCCCTGCAGTGCCAGGCACAATGGCCACACTCCCAAAGCAACCCAAGCATTCATCAATAGATGAATGAATAAAGAAAATCCTGCCATTTGCAATGCCATGGATGAACCTGGGGGACACTATGCTAAGTGAAATAAGCCAGTCATAGAAGGACAAATACTGCGTGACTCCATTTACACGAGGTACCTAAAATTGTCAGTCATAGAGACAGAGAATAGAATGGTGGTTTCCAGGGGCTGGGGAGCGGGGAATGGGGGATTGCTGTTCAATGGGTATAAAATTTCAGTTACGCTAGGTGAATAGATTCTAGAGATTCACTAAATAACATAGTAGCTATACTTAACGACTGTATTGTGCTCTGCAACATTTGTTAAGAGGGTAGATCTCATATTAATTGTTCTTACTACAAACACACACACACACACACCCACACACAGACACAGGGAAACTCTGGAGTGGTTGGATATTCCTAATGCCTTGATTGTGGTGATGATGCCACAGGTGTTCACACCTGTTCAAACTCATCAAATTTACACATTAAATATGTATAGTTCTTTGTAAATCAATATCTCAATATCTCAAGAAAGCTGTTAAAAAAAAAAAGAGAGAGAGGGAGAAGCCTATCTGGTCAAATTCACGTGGAAGCGAGAAAGATCTGAGAACTTTCACGGCCGATTATTTCTTGAAGAGTGACGCTTAACTAAAATCTGCAGAGCTGTGGATGGGAGACATGTGAGAGTAATCAGAATGCCCCTGTGTTCTGCTGCCTTGTTAAACTTAGAGCTTTGTACTGGGAGCTGGATGAACTAAAAATGTGTCCTATGTGGAGTACTGGACTATTATGCAGACTTTTCTAGAAGAGATGGCATTAAAGAAGGAAACTACAAAAAAATCTTAACATTAAAGAATGGTCAAGGAATTTTCATCTGTGGGAAGACATGGTTTGTCCCCAAATGTACACTTTCCCTAACTGACATTTAATTTTTGTCTCCAACCTTAACAATAAACGAGAGGATCCTAATGCAGATATTTCAGCAAACAGCTCTTCTGTATTACATTTGAAGATATTAATTCTATTCTGTTTCTCCCGATTTATTTAAATTCAATCTAGCTTACTTCTGTTTTAAAAGGGTGTGTTTCTTCTAAGCGTATTTCCATATCCTTGCATATAAAATGGGCATTATTGTTTGCCATGGAGGGAAACACAAAGCCACATACAGATGCTGCCATCAAAGATATTTATAGGAGAGGCATTCGCTCCGGAGAAAGCCACAGACCTCTAGCTGGGAAGCTTTGCCTGAGGTTGTCCTGCCTTTCTTTCCTCGGACTGGCAGAAGTGGAGTGGGCAGTCCTAATCAGTCCTCCCTGCAAGAATGCTTTATCTTCTTTCAGTATGACTCACAGGCCCTGGGAATGTCTCCCGAACTGCAGTCTCGGGGTCTGGGGAGCTGCAAAATGCCATGGCTGAAAAATGAATTGCAGCTGATGAGGAAGGTGTCTAGACACAGCTGCAGAAGGGGTGAGCTAAGGATAAAATAGGCAACCAATAAAAATCCTTTTTAGTCTCAAAAACGAGGCACGAGAAAGTCAGGGGAAGTAAGTTTTGATTGCATCCCTTGCCCAGAGAGAAAACAGCAGAACAATTTAATTTTGAATTCTTCTTGAGTCTTCTAACGAGGCAACATTTCCAGAGAAAAATAAATTGCTGATAAAAGTCACAGGGCCTTGGGTAAATCCGGAAAACAAGAAGTCTGGGGAAGATTTGATTACAGTTGACAGCAGAGATGAGGGATTTCAAAGTCCTGTGTGCACCCGGTTTGCCTAATTACTGATTTTGGAGGGGGGTGGTTTGATTTGTTATATTTAGAAGATATTTGGAAACCATGGGAATTTTAGCAAGATATCTCATACTCGTGCAGCACTGCTGTGGTCCAATTGCTTTATAATTGTTTGGACATGTTTCCAGGAGGCAACTATGGGAAAACTAGATGTTAATTTCCGAATATGTGAAACATTGCCTTTAGAACACCGAGTCTCAGACTT